CTTGTGGCCCCTGGACCCCCTGGGAATGTCCCCAGTGTCCCCAGAGCCCTCTGGGAGTGTCCCCAGTGATGTCCCCAGTGTCCCCAAACCCCCGTGTGCCCCCAGATCACTGCCAGGGCTCTGAGATCAAGCCCGGTGTCCCCTGTGGGTGTCCCCTGGGATGTCCCCTGTGTCCCCAATATCCTTGTGATGTCCCCAATGTCCCAGTGATGTCCCCAACGTCCCAGTGATGTCCCCGATGTCCCCGATGTCCCTGTCACTCTGTAGATCACCCGCCGTGCCCTGTTCGTGGTGACTCCGAGATCGACCAGCTGTCCCCAATGTCCCCAGTGTCCCTGTATCCCCATTGTCCCCAATGTCCCCAATATCCCTGTGTCTCTCATGCCCCAATGATGTCCCCGATGTCCCCAATGTCCCACAGATCAGCTGCCATGCCCTGTTCCCGGGCGATTCTGAGATTGACCAGCTGTTCCCATTGTCCCCAATGTCCCCAATGTCCCTAATGTCCCTGTATCCCCAATGTCCCCAATGTCCCTGTATCCCCAATGTCCTCGTTATCCCCAATGTCCCCGATGTCCCCAATGTCCCTGTCACCCCACAGATCACCCGCCGTGCGCTGTTCCCGGGTGATTCCGAGATCGACCAGCTGTTCCCATTGTCCCCAATGTCCCCAATGTCCCCAATGTCCCTGTCACCCCTCAGATCACCCGCCGTGCGCTGTTCCCGGGCGATTCCGAGATCGACCAGCTGTTCCCATTGTCCCCAATGTCCCCAATGTCCCACAGATCACCCGCCGTGCGCTGTTCCCGGGCGATTCCGAGATCGACCAGCTGTTCCCATTGTCCCCAATGTCCCCAATGTCCCACAGATCACCCGCCGTGCGCTGTTCCCGGGCGATTCCGAGATCGACCAGCTGTTCCCATTGTCCCCAATGTCCCCAATGTCCCTCAGATCACCCGCCGTGCGCTGTTCCCGGGCGATTCCGAGATCGACCAGCTGTTCCGCATTTTCCGCACCCTGGGCACCCCGGACGAGGCCGCCTGGCCGGGGGTGTCGGCGCTGCCCGACTACAAGGCCACGTTCCCCCGCTGGGCACGCCAGGACCTGGCCAAGGTGCTGCCGCCGCTGGACGACGAGGGACGCAAGCTGCTGGCGGTGAGGGGACAAAAGGGACGCTTCTTCCTGAATTTTCCCCGATTTTCCCTGATTTTCCCCAATTTTTCCTTGATTTTTCCAGATTTTTCCCAATTTTCCCTGATTTTCCCTCGATTTTTCCCACTTTTTCCTTGATTTTTCCCACTTTTTCCCCGATTTTCCCCACTTTTTCCTTGATTTTTCCCCACTTTTTCCTTGATTTTTCCCACTTTTTCCTTGATTTTTCCCCACTTTTTCCTTGATTTTTCCCACTTTTTCCCCGATTTTCCCCACTTTTTCCTTGATTTTTCCCCACTTTTTCCTTGATTTTTCCCAATTTTCCCTGATTTTTCCCCGATTTTTCCCAATTTTCCCACTTTTTCCTTGATTTTTTCCACTTTTTCCTGATTTTTTCCCACTTTTTCCTGATTTTTCCCCACTTTTCCTTGATTTTTCCCAATTTTCCCTGATTTTTCCCTGATTTTCCCACTTTTTCCTTGATTTTTCCCCACTTTTTCCTTGATTTTTCCCCACTTTTCCTTGATTTTTCCCAATTTTCCCTGATTTTTCCCTGATTTCCCCACTTTTTCCTTGATTTTTCCCAATGTTCCCTGATTTTTCCCTGATTTTCCCACTTTTTCCTGATTTTTCCCCACTTTTTCCCACCTTTTCACCCCATATTTCTCATTTTTCCTATTTTTTCCCATTTTGCCCTGATTTTTCCTTGATTTGCCCCAATTTTTCCCTATTTTTTTCCACTTTTCTCTGATTTTTTCCCCACTTTTCTCTGATTTTCCCCACTATTTTCTGATTTTCCCTGCTTTTCTCTTGATTTTTCCATGATTTTTTCCACATTTTCCCCAATTTTTCCTTGCTTTTTCCCCACTTTTGCCTCAATTTTTCCTCGCCTTTTACCAATTTTATCGCAATTTTTCATTGTTTTTTCCCACTTTTCCCTGATTTTTGCACAATTTTCTAGATTTTCTCCCAATTTTTCCTGATTTTTCTCTCAATTTTCCTCATTTTCTTCCAATTTTCCCTGATTTTTCCCCACTTTTTCCTGATTTTTCCCCCACCTTTTCCTGCAATTTCCCCCCCTTTTTCCTCCTTTTTCCCTGATTTTTCCCCAATTTTTCTCTAATTTCCCCCCAATTTTTCCTGTTTTTTCTCTAATTTTTCCCATTTTTTTCCCAATTTTTCCTGATTTTTTTTCCCAATTTTCCCTTTATTTTCACCAATTTTCCCTGATTTTTTCCCTGATTTTCCCACTTTTCCCTGATTTTCCCCCAGTTTTTCCTTTATTTTTTTCCCAATTTTTTCCGGATTTTCCCCCAATTTTTCCTTGATTTTTCCCAATTTTTTTCCCTTATTTCCCCTGCCTTTTTCCCCATTTTCCCCCCTTTTCCCCATTTGCCCCCGATTTTCCTTCCAATTTTCCCCCCAATTTTTTACCCCTTTCCCCCCATTTTCTCCTTATTTTCCTCTCATTTTTGCCCCGTTTTTTCCTCATTTTCTCCCCCATTTCCCTCATTCCCCCCATTCTTTCCCAATTTCCACTCATTTTCCCCCCATTTCCCCCCATTTTCTCCATTTTTTCCCCCATTTTTTCCCAATTTCCCCGTTTCTCTCCCCAGCAAATGCTGCACTACGACCCCAACAAGCGAATCTCGGCCAAGGCCGCCCTGGGCCACCCCTTCTTCAGGGACGTCACCAGGGCCGTGCCCCACCTGCGCCTCTGACCCCAAAAACGGCCCCAAATCCCCCAAAATATCCCCAAAATATCCCCAAATCCCCACAATCATCACAAATCCCCAAAAACGGCCTCAAAATCCCCCAAAATGACCCAAAATTGGCCCCAAAAATGGCCCCAAATCCCCAAAAATGACCCTAAAACTCCCCTGAATGGCCCCAAATCCCCAAAATGATCCCAAATCCCCCAAAATAGCCCCAAATCCCCAAAATTATCACAAATCCCCAAAAACAGCCCCAAAATGTCCTCAAAAATGGCCCCAAATCCCCAAAAACCACCCTAAAACTCCTCAAAACAGTCCCAAATCCCCAAAATTATCCCAACCCCCCCCCAAATCCTCAACAACGACCCCAGATCCCCTCAAAATGACCCCGAATCCCCAAAACTGACCCCAAATCCCTAAAAATGACCCCAATCCCCCAAAACGGGCCCGAAACCAACAGAAATGGCTCAAAAATGGCCCAAATTCCCCCTAAATGACCCCAAATCCCCCCAAATGACCCCAAATCCCTCAAAAACGACCCCAAATCCCCCAAAATTATCACAAATCCCCAAAAACGGCCCCAAAATGTCCTCAAAAATGGCCCCAAATCCCCAAAAACGACCCCAAATTCCCCCTAAATGAGCCCAATCCCAGCCCCAAATCCCCTCAAAAACGACCCCAAAACCCCCGAAACGTCCCCAAAACCCCCCCAAAATGACCCCAAATCTCCCAAAAATGACCCTAAATCCCCCAAAATGACCCCAAATCCCCCAAATGACCCCAAATCTCCCAAAAATGACCCCAAATCCCCCAAAATATCCCCTAAACCCTCCCAAACAGCCCCGAATGCCCCAAAACAACCCCAAAAAATCCCAAAATGGCCCCAAATCCCCCCAAAATGTCCCTGAAATTCTTCCAATTGTCCCCAATTCCCCCCAAGTGTCCCCAAAATCCCTCAAACGTCCCTAAAATAACCCAAAATGGCCCCAAAATGATCCTAAAAGCCTCAAAAATGCCCCTAAAACTTTTCCTAATGTCCCCAGGACCCCCAAAATGTCCCCAAAACGCCCCCAAATTGTCCCCAAATGTCCCCAAAATGAGCCAAAATCCTCAAAATTGTCCCCAAAACTTCCCCAGGAGGGGTCCCAAGGCCACCCCCCCCCCAGTTCTGTGGCACTTACAGGCTGTCCCCTCCCCCAATGCCCCTCCCCCAATGCCACCCCCTCGATGTCCCCTTGTCCCCTCCCCCCCCCTTTGTCCCCTCTCCCCCTTCGCGGTTTTTGGAGCCGAAATTTTTTATTGTAATTTTTAGGCAAAAAATTTGTAATAAAATTTCTTTTGTTTGTTGGGTTTTTGTTAATCGGGGGGGGGGGGGGGTCAAGGTGGCGTTGTCACCTCACCCCCCCCCCCCAAATGTCCCCAAAACCCCAAAAAATGTCCCCAAACCCCCTAAAATCCCTGCAAATGTCCCCAAATGCACCCAAAATGTCCAAAATTCCCGCCTAAAAGCCCCAAAACTGTCTCCAAACCTCCCCAAGTGTCCTCAAAACCCAAAAAAATGTCCCCAAACCCCCCCAAAATGTCCCCAAATTGTCCCCGAGCCCCCGTGAGGGGCCTCTCAGGCCACGCCCCCTGACCTATAGACCACGCCCAATTGTGGCCACGCCCACCCCGCCATCGGAGCGTTCTGATTGGTCCGCCTAAGCGACGCCCCCAGCATGCGCCTTCCCGGCTTTCCCAGCTGTCAATCACAGACAGCGGCTCCTCTGATTGGGCGAGGCTTCATCTCCACCCGCCTTCTCATTGGGTGATGCAGCCACGGGGCTCCGCCCCCCTCGGTCACCTTATTTGTTGTTCGCCCCGCCCTCACGCGCGTCCCCTCTTCCCATTGGTAGTTTGCAGTGTCATTCAGCACGAACCCCGCCTCCTCACCGCCTTCCCTCCTCCCAATTGGCCATGCTCTTTCTTCTCCTTATTGGCCGCCCTGCTGTCCATCACCCATTCTCATCTACCTATTGGTGGCGCTCTGCGGGGCCGTGCCCTCCTCTCTTCCCATTGGCGGAGTGCAAAGGCGGGCTCTTCGCTGATTGGTCCACACCTTTCTTAGTCCCGCCCCCTCCGTGAGGGCTTGGCGGAGCCGCTGTTTGTGCGCTCGGGGCCGCGCCGGGAGGGCCCGGAGGTACCGGAGGGGCGGGCGGGGGGTCCTGGTGGCACCGGGGGCGCTCCGGGGGCTGCACCGGGCACCGACAGCGCCCGAGCACCGAGGGGAACCGGGAGGAACCGCGCTGGGCCGGGCCCGGCCCGCTGAGGGCGCTGAGGGGAGGGCGGGACCCCCCCGGTGCGGATTTGGGGAGGGGGCTCCGGGCCTGAGGGGGCCGCGGCCGCCTCGAACCGGGGGGTTCCGGGCTGGGATCCCCCGGAGGGGTCGCGGCTTGGCCGGGTTGGGGTTGAAGGGAGCGGCGCTGCCTCGTTGTGAGGGGGAGCCCCCATTTTGGGGGGGGGTTTGGCCCCCTCCCCATTATTGGGTTTTTCTCTTCTCTTGGGGTTTTTATTTTCTGTCTCCTTCCCCGTTAGTGGCATTTTTGTCTTGTTTTGGGTATTTTTTTTTCTGTTCTCTCCCCATTATTGGGATTTTCCCCATTTTGGGGAAGTTTTTCTGCCCCTTCCCCATTATTGGGGTTTCTCCCCTGTTTTGGGGAAGTTTTTTCCCACTCCTTCCCAATTATTGGCATTTTATCCCCTGTTTTGGGGGTGTTTTTCCCATCCTCTCCCCATTATTGGGGTTTTTCTCCTGTTTGGGTTTTTTTTCCCACCCCTTCCCCATTGTTGAGGTTTTCTCCCCTGTTTTGGGGTTTTTTTCCTGCCCCACTCTCCATTATTGGGGTTTATCCCTATTTGGGAACATTTTCCTCACAGTTTTGGGGCTTTTTTTCTCCTCTCTTTCCCATTCTGGGGTGTTTCTCTCTCTCATTATGGAGGGTTCTGATCCCTGCCCGGAGCTGGGGATCCCTCAGGGTTTGGGGTCCCCCAGAACTGAGGCTCGCCCAGAATTTGGGATTCCCTGGGGTTTTGGATCACCCATATTTTGGGATTGCTCAGAATTTGGGATTCCCTGGAATTTGGAATTCCTCGGATATTTGGGATCCCCCAGAACTGAGGCTTGCCCCAGAATTTGGGATCCCCTGGGTGGCCAGCCTGTCCCATCCCAGGGGCTGATCCCAGTGGGTTGGTCCCAGTGTGCTGACCCCATCCCAGTAGTGTGACCCCATCCCAGTTGGGTTATCCCATGTTCTGACCCCATCCCAGTGGGTTATCCCATCCCAGTGACCCCATCCCAGTGGGTTATCCCATCCCAGGGGACCCCATCCCAGTTGGGTCATCCGATGTTCGGATCCCATCCCAGTTGAGTTGATCCCATCGCAGTTGGGTTATCCCAGTTGGGTTGATCCATCCCAGAAGGTCAATCTCAGTAGGGTGACCCCATCTCAGTTGGGTTATCGCATCCCCGTTGGGTTTACCCCATCCCAGTTGGGTTGACCATATCCCAGTTGGGTTGATCCCATCCCAGTGGTGTGACCCCGTCCCAGTTGGGTTATCCCACATGCTGACCCCATCCCAGTTGGGTTGTCCCCCATTCTGACCCCATCCCAGTTGGGTTGTCCCCCATTCTGACCCCGTGCCACCCTGTCCGTCTGTCCCCAGGACCGCGGTGCCGTTGTGCCCAGCCTGTCCCAGTGTGCTGACCCCATCCCAGTTGGGTTATCCCAGTTGGGTTGACCCCATCCCAGTTGGGTTATCCCATCCCAGTGACCCCATCCCATCCCAATTGGGTTATCCCAGTGTTCTGACCCCATCTCAGTGGGGTTGACCCAGTTGGGTTGATCCCATTCCAGTTGGGTTTTCCCACATTCTGACCCCATCCCAGTTGGGTTATCCAGTAGGGTTGACCCTATCCCAGTTAGGTTATCCCATTCTACTTGGGGTGACCCCATCCCAGTTGGGTTATCCCAGTTGGGTTGCCCCACGTTCTGACCCCATCCCAGTGGTCTCATCCCAGTTGGACTGACCCCATCCCAGTTGGGTTGATCCCATCCCAGTTGCGTTGACCCCATCCCAGTTGGGTTATCCCAGTAGGGTGACCCCATCCCAGTTGGTTTGATCCAATCCCAGTTGAGTTGACCCCATCCTGGAGGGTCAATCCCAGTGTTCTGACCCCATCCCAGTTGGGTTGTCCCCCATTCTGACCCCGTGCCACCCTGTCTGTCCGTCCCCAGGACCACGGTGCCATCATGCCCATCCCATCCCAGTGTTCTGATCCATCCCAGTTGGAGTGACCCCATCCCAGTTGGGTTATCCCACATTCTGACCCCATCCCAGTTGGGTTATCCCACGTTCTGACCCCATCCCAGTTGGGTTATCCCACATTCTGACCCCATCCCAGTTGGGTTGTCCCCCATGCCGACCCTATCCCAGTTGGGTTGTCCCCACTCTGACCCCGTGCCACCCTCTGTCTGTCCCCAGGACCGCGGTGCCAGCGCCCAGCCCGGCCATGGCCGCGCGCGGGGCCCAGCGGCCCAACGGGCACTCGCAGCCCAGTAAGATCTGCCAGTTCAAACTGGTGCTGCTGGGAGAGTCGGCCGTGGGCAAGTCCAGCCTGGTGCTGCGCTTCGTCAAGGGCCAGTTCCACGAGTACCAGGAGAGCACCATCGGCGGTGAGCCGCGATCAGGGATCCTAAAAGGGTCTGGGGGATCCCAAAAGGGATCTGGGGGATCCTACAGGGATTTGGGGTGATCCCAGGTGTGATTTGGGGTGCAGGATGCGCTTCGTCAAGGGCCAGTTCCACGAGTACCAGGAGAGCACCATCGGCAGTGAGCGGGGATCGGGGATCCCAAAAGGGTCTGGGGGATCCCAAAAGGGATTTGGGGTGACCCCACAGGGATCTGGGGCTGTCCCGGGTTGGACTTGGGGTGATCCCAGGTGTGATTTGGGGTGTAGGATGAGCTTCATCAAGGGCCAGTTCCACGAGTACCAGGAGAGCACCACTGGCGGTGAGCTGAGATCAGAGATCCCAAAAGGGTCTGGGGGATCCTAAAAGGGTCTGGGGGATCCCAAAAGGGATCTGGGGGATCCTACAGGGACTTGGGGTGATCCCACAGGGGTCTGGGGCTGTCCTGGGTGGGATTTGGGGTGCAGGATGGGCTTCGTCAAGGGCCAGTTCCATGAGTACCAGGAGAGCACCATCGGCGGTGAGCTGGGATCGGGGATCCCAAAAGGGTCTGGAGGATCCCAAAAGGGATTTGGGGTGACCCCACAGGGATCTGGGGCTGTCCCGGGTTGGACTTGGGGTGATCCCAGGTGGGATTTGGGGTGTAGGATGAGCTTCATCAAGGGCCAGTTCCACGAGTACCAGGAGAGCACCATCGGCGGTGAGCTGTGGTCCCATGGGGGTCTGGGGGATCCCAAAAGGGATTTTGGGGATCCACAGGGGTCTGGGGGGTCCTAAAAGGGTCTGGGGCTGGCCAGGGTGGGATTTGGGGTGATCCCAGGTGGGATTTGGGGGTGTAGGATGAGCTTCATCAAGGGCCAGTTCCACGAGTACCAGGAGAGCACCATCGGCGGTGAGCCAGGATCGGGGATCCCAAAAGGGTCTGGGGGATCCCAAAAGGGTCTGGGGGATCCTAAAAGGGTCTGGGGAATCCCAAAAGGGATTTGGGGTGCGATTTGGGGTGCAGGAAGGGCTTTGTTGAGCACCAGTTCCACAAGTACCAGGAGAGCACCATCGGCGGTGAGCCGCGATCCCAAAGGGATTTGGGGGATCCCAAAGGGATTTGGGGTGACCCCACAGGGGTCTGGGGCTGTCCAGGGTGGGATTTGGGGGATCCCAGGTGGGATTTGGGGTACAGGGAGAGCTTTTCGGGAGGGTTTGGGACACCCTGAGGTGTCCCTGGAAAGGTTTTGTGCCACCCTGAGGTGGGGGCACTCTGAGCTGTCCCTGGCTGGGTTGGTGACACTGGTGACCCTGTGGTGTCCCCGTCCCCAGCAGCGTTCCTGACGCAGTCCGTCTGTCTGGCCGGGTTTGGGGTGCAGTGAAGGTTCTCTGGCTGGGTTGGTGACACTGAGCTGTCCCTGGCTGGGTTGGTGACCCTGTGGTGGCTCTCTAGCTGGGTTGGTGACACTCTGGTGACACTGTGGTGACACTGTCCCCGTCACCAGCGGCGTTCCTGGCGCAGTCCGTCTGTCTGGCCGGGTTTGGGGTGCAGTGATGGCTCTGTGGGTGGGTTGGTGACACTCTGGGCTGTCCCTGGCTGGGTTGGTGACCCTGTGGTGGCTCTGTGGATGGGTTGGTGACACTCTGATGACACTGGTGACCCTGTCCCCGTCCCCAGCGGCGTTCCTGGCGCAGTCCGTCTGTCTGGCCGAGTTTGGGGTGCAGTGAGGGGTCCCTGGCTGGGTTGGTGACCCTGTGGTGGCTCTCTAGCTGGGTTGGTGACACTGGTGACACTGTGGTGACCCTGTCCCCGTCCCCAGCGGCGTTCCTGGCGCAGTCCGTCTGTCTGGCCGGGTTTGGGGTGCAGTGAGGTGTCCCTGGCTGGGTTGGTGACACAGTGATGGCTCTGTGGGTGGGTTGGTGACACTGTGGTGACCCTGTCCCCGTCCCCAGCGGCGTTCCTGACGCAGTCCGTCTGTCTGGACGACACCACGGTGAAGTTCGAGATCTGGGACACGGCGGGGCAGGAGCGCTACCACAGCCTGGCCCCCATGTACTACCGGGGGGCCCAGGCTGCCATCGTGGTCTACGACATCACCAACCAGGTCTGAGGGGCCCTGAGGGGGTTTGGGGGGGCCCTGAGGGGATTTGGGGGGATTTGAGGGGGTCCTGGGGGGATTTGAGGGGGTCCTGAAGGGTTTTAGGGGGGGATTTGAGGGGTCCTGAAGGGTTTTAGGGGTGGTCTCAGAGGGTACTACCGGGGGGCCCAGGCTGCCATCGTGGTCTACGACATCACCAACCAGGTCTGGGGGGGGTTTGGGGGTCTCAGGGTTCTGAGGGATCTCAGGATATTTGAGGAGGGGTCTCAGGGTATTTGGGGAGGGGTCTCAGCCCCAATTTTCCCCCTCAGGAGACGTTTGCCCGTGCCCAGGGCTGGGTGAAGGAGCTGCAGGGGGGTCTGGGGATCTCAGAGGATTTGAGGATTTTTGAGGAGGGGTCTCAGGGGATTTGAGGAGGGGTCCCGGGATATTTGATTTAAGGAATCCCAGGGGTCTCAGACTATTTGGGGAGGGGTCTCAGCCCCAATTTCCCCCCTCAGAAAACGTTTGCCCGTGCCCAGGGCTGGGTGAAGGAGCTGCAGGGAAGTCTGGAATTCTCAGGATTTTTGAGGAGAGGTCCCAGGAGTTTCAGGATATTTGAGGAGGGGTCTCAGGAGATATTTGGGGAGGGGTCTCAGGAGATATTTGGGGAGGGGTCTCAGGGGATATTTTGGGGAGGGGTCTCAGAGGATATTTGAGGAGAGGTCTCAGGGGATATTTGAGGAGGGGTCTCAGACTATTTGGGGAGGGGTCTCAGCCCCATTCCCCCTCAGGAGACGTTTGCCCGTGCCCAGGGCTGGGTGAAGGAGCTGCAGGGGGGTCTGGGGATCTCAGGGGATTTGAGGATTTTTGAGGAGGGGTCTCAGGGGTCTCAGGGGATATTTGAGGAGGGGTCTCAGGGATTTCAGGATATTTGAGGAGGGGTCTCAGGGGATATTTGAGGAGGGGTCTCAGGGGATATTTGAGGAGGGGTCTCAGGGGTCTCGGGATATTTGGGGAGGGGTCTCAGGGGATATTTGAGGAGGGGTCTCAGGGGATATTTGAGGAGGGGTCTCAGGGATTTCAGGATATTTGAGGAGGGGTCTCAGGGGATATTTGAGGAGGGATCTCAGGGGTCTCAGGGGATATTTGGGGAGGGGTCTCAGGGGATATTTGAGGAGGGGTCTCAGCCCCATCCCCCCTCAGGAGACGTTTGCCCAAGCCCGGATCTGGGTGAAGGAGCTGCAGGGGGGTCTGGAATTCTCAGGTTTTTTGAGGAGAGGTCTCAGGGGATTTTTGAGGAGTGGTCTCAGGATTTTTGAGGAGGGGTCTCAGGGATCTCAGACTATTTGGGGAGGGGTCTCAGGCCTCAATTTCCCCCCTCAGGAGACGTTTGCCCGTGCCCGGGGCTGGGTGAAGGAGCTGCAGCGCCAGGCCAGCCCCAGCATCGTCATCGCCCTGGCTGGGAACAAGGCTGACCTGGCCAGCAAGAGGATGGTGGAGTACGAGGTAGGGGGGGTTGGGGGATTTTAGGGGATTTTGGGAATTTTTTGGTATTTTTGGGAAATTTTGGGGGGATTTTTGAGGGATTTTGGGGGGATTTTTGAGGGATTTTGGGGATTTTTTGGGGATTTTTTTGGATTTTTTTTTTAATTTTGGGGGATTTTTTTTTAATTTTGGGGGGGTTTTTTGGGGCAATTTTGGAAATATTGGGGAGATTTAGAGATGTTTTTTTGGGGGGAATTTTTTGGGGGATTTTTTTGGAGGGATTTGTGGACTTTTTGGGGAATTTTGAGAATTTTTTTAATTTTTGGGGGATTTCGGGATTTATTTGGGGAAGTTTTGGGAGATTTTTTGGGGAGATTTGGGAGATTTTTGGGGAGAGGATTTGGGGATATATTTGGTGGGATTTTTTTTTATTTTTGGGGGATTTGGGGGTTTATTTGTGGAATTTTTAGGGCATTTTTGCAGATTTTTTGGGAATTTCTGGATGGTGGAGTACAAGGTATGGAGAGTTTTGGGGAATTTTAGGAATGTTTTGGGAGGATTTTGGGACTTTCTGGAGGAGTTTTTTTTGGAAATGTGTGGAGTTTTTTCTGGGAATTTTTGGGGTTTTTCTAGGGAGTTTCTGGAGATTTTTTGGGAATTCCTCAGGAGTTTTTTTGTGAAACTTTGGGACTCTTTTGAGCAATTTTTGGAGGATTTTTTGGGTGGAATTTTGGGGTTTTTTGATGAGTTTTTCCCTGCAGGAAGCCCAGGCCTACGCTGATGACAACAGCCTGCTCTTCATGGAGACCTCGGCCAAGACAGCCATGAATGTCAACGACCTCTTCCTGGCCATCGGTGGGTCTGGGGGCTTGGGGGGTCCTGAGGGGGTTTTGGGGGGTCCTGAGGGGGTTTGGGGGGTCCTGAGGGGGTCTGGGGATGTTTCAATGATGTTTTGGGGGGTTTTGGGGGGTTCTGAGGGGTTTTTGGGGGGTCCTGAGGGGGTTTGGGGGGTCCTGAGGGGGTTTTGGGGGGGTCCTGAGGGGGTCTGGGGATGTTTCAATGATGTTTTGGGGGGTTTTGGGGGGTTCTGAGGGGTTTTTGGGGGGTCCTGAGGGGGGTTTTGGGGGGTTCTGAGGGGTTTTGGGGGGTCCTGAGGGGGTTTGGGGCTGTTTCAGTGGAGTTTTGGGGGGTCCTGAGAGGTTTGTGGGGATCTCAGAGGGGTTTGGGGAGGTCTGAGGGGGCTCTTAGGGCTCCTGAGGGGTTTTGGGGGTTCTGAGGAGGCTCAAGAGGATTTGAGGAGGGGTTCCAGGGGGTTTTGGGGGTCCAGAGGGGTTTTGGGGTTCTGAGGGTGCCCCATTTCCAAACCAAATGATTCAGAATCATCTCAAACCATTCTAAACCATCCCAAACCACCCCAAATGATCCCAAACCATCCCAAATCATCCCGAAGCATTCCAAATCTCCTTAAATAACCCCAAATGATCACCTAACCATCCTAAACCATTCCAAACCGTCCCAAATCATCCCAAACCATCCCAAACCATCCCAAACCGTCCCAAACCATCCCAAACCATTCCAAACCATCCCAAATCTCACTAAACCGCCCCAAATCATCCCGGACCATTTCAAATCATCTTAAATAACCCCAAACCATCCTGAACCATCCCAAATAACCCCAAATGATCCCAAACCATTCCAAACCATCCCAAATAACCCCAAGTGACCCCAAATGACCGTGAGTTTCCCATTGCAGCCAAGAAGCTGCCAAAGACGGAGCCGCAGAGCACGAGCGGGGCCGGGGGCCGGGGCCGGGGCGTGGACCTGAGCGAGCAGAGCCCGCAGGGCCGCGGGCAGTGCTGCAGCAACTGAGGGATCTATGGGATCCACTGGGATCCACTGGGATCAGAGCTGGGATCCAGCCCAAATCCAGCTGGGATTGAACCCAGATCCACCAGGATCCACCAGGACTGAACCCAGACCCAGCAGGGCCGCGGGCAGTGCTGCAGCAACTGAGGGATCTGATGGGATCCACTGGGATCGGAGCTGGGATCCAGCCCAAATCCAGCCCAGATCCACCAGGACTGAACCCAGATCCAGCCCAGATCCACCAGGATTGAACCCAGACCCAGCAGGGCCGCGGGCAGTGCTGCAGACTGAGGGATCCATGGGATCCACTGGGATCCACTGGGATCAGAGCTGGGATCCAGCCCAAATCCAGCTGGGATTGAACCCAGATCCACCAGGATTGAACCCAGACCCAGCAGGGCCGTGGACAGTGCTGCAGCCACTGAGAGATCCACGGGATCTACTGGGATCTGAGCTGAGATTGAACCCAGATCCAGGCCAAATCCAGCCAGGATCCACCAGGATTGAACCCAGATCCAGCCAGGATTGAACCCAGATCCAGCCAGGATCCACCAGGACTGAACCCAGACCCAGCAGGGCCATGGGCAGTGCTGCAGCAACTGAGGGATCCATGGGATGTGATGGGATCCACTGGGATCGGAGCTGAGATCCAGCCCAAATCCAGCTGGGATTGAACCCAGATCCACCAGGATCCACCAGGACTGAACCCAGACCCAGCAGGGCCGCGGGCAGTGCTGCAGCAACTGAGGGATCTGATGGGATCCACTGGGATCGGAGCTGGGATCCAGCCCAAATCCAGCCCAGATCCACCAGGACTGAACCCAGATCCAGCCCAGATCCACCAGGATTGAACCCAGACCCAGCAGGGCCGCGGGCAGTGCTGCAGACTGAGGGATCTGATGGGATCAGAGCTGGGATCTACTGGGATCAGAGCTGGGATCCAGCCCAAATCCAGCTGGGATTGAACCCAGATCCACCAGGATTGAACCCAGACCCAGCAGGGCCGTGGACAGTGCTGCAGCAACTGAGAGATCCACGGGATCTACTGGGATCTGAGCTGAGATTGAACCCAGATCCAGGCCAAATCCCCAGATCCAGGCCAAATCCAGCCAGGATCCACCAGGATTGAACCCAGATCCAGCCAGGATCCACCAGGACTGAACCCAGACCCAGCAGGGCCATGGGCAGTGCTGCAGCCACTGAGGGATCCACGGGATGTGATGGGATCCACTGGGATCGGAGCTGAGATCCAGCCCAAATCCAGCTGGGATTGAACCCAGATCCACCAGGATCCACCAGGATTGAACCCAGAGCCCGCAGGGCCACGGGCAGTGCTGCAGCAACTGAGGGATCCGTGGGATCTGATGGAATCTGAGCTGGGATCTACTGGGATCAGAGCTGGGATCCAGCCCAAATCCAGCTGGGATTGAACCCAGATCCACCAGGATTGAACCCAGATCCACCAGGATCCACCAGGACTGAACCCAGACCCAGCAGGGCTGCGGGCAGTGCTGCAGCCACTGAGGGATCTGATGGGATGCAGCCAGGATTGAACCCAGATCCAGCTGGGATTGAACCCAGATCCAGCCCAAACCCAGCAGGATCCACCAGGACTGAACCCACATCCAGCAGGGCCGTGGGCAGTGCTGGAGACACTGAGGGATCCACTGGGATCCAGCCCAGATCCAGCCAGGACTGAACCCGGATCCAGCCAGCAGTTGGCCAGTGCTGCAGCAACTGAGGGATCCACCAGGATCTGCTGGGATCTGGCTGGGATTGAACCCAGATGCAGCCAGGATCCACCAGGACTGAACCTAAATCCAGCTCACAGGTCTACAGGCAGCAGCTGAGGGATCCACGGGATCTGCTGGGATCTGATGGGGTTAGAGCTGGGGTTGAACCCAGATCCAGCCCAAATCCAGCTGGGATCCACCAGGATTGAACCCGGATCCAGCCCAAATCCAGCTGGGATCCACCAGGATTTTGTAATGGAACCTGGATCCAGCCCAAATCCACCTGGGATCCACCAGGATTGAACTTGGATCCAGCCCAAATCCAGCTGGGATCCACCAGGATTGAACCCGGATCCAGCCCAAATCCAGCTGGGATCCACCAGGATTGAACCCGGATCCAGCCCAAATCCAGCTGGGATCCACCAGGATTGAACCCGGATCCAGCCCAAATCCAGCTGGGATCCACCAGGATGGAACCCGGATCCAGCCCAAATCCAGCTGGGATCCACCAGGATGGAACCCGGATCCAGCCCAAATCCAACTGGGATCCACCAGGATGGAACCCGGATCCAACCCAAATCCAGCTGGGATCCACCAGGATGGAACCTGCATCCAGCCCAAATCCAGCTGGGATCCACCAGGATTGAACCTGGATCCAGCCCAAATCCAGCTGGGATCCACCAGGATGGAACCTGCATCCAGCCCAAATCCAGCTGGGATCCACCAGGATTGAACCTGGATCCAGCCCAAATCCAGCTGGGATCCACCAGGATTGAACCTGGATCCGGCCCAAATCCAACTGGATCCACCAGGATGGAACCCGGATCCGGCCCAAATCCAGCTGGGATCCACCAGGATGGAACTTGGATCCAGCCCAAATCCAGCTGGGATCCACCAGGATGGAACCCGGATCCGGCCCAAATCCAGCTGGGATCCACCAGGATTGAACCCAGATCCAGCCCAAATCCAGCTGGGATCCACCAGGATGGAACTTGGATCCAGCCCAAATCCAGCTGGGATCCACCAGGATTGAACCTGGATCCAGCCCAAATCCAGCTGGGATCCACCAGGATGGAACCCGGATCCGGCCCAAATCCAACTGGGATCCACCAGGATGGAACCCAGATCCAACCCAAATCCAGCTGGGATCCACCAGGATTGAACCCAGATCCAGCCCAAATCCAGCTGGGATCCACCAGGATGGAACCTGGATCCAGCCCAAATCCAGCTGGGATCCACCAAGATTGAACCTGGATCCAGCCCAAATCCAGCTGGGATCCACCAGGATGGAACTTGGATCCAGCCCAAATCCAGCTGGGATCCACCAGGATTGAACCCAGATCCAGCCCAAATCCAGCTGGGATCCACCAGGATGGAACCCGGATCCGGCCCAAATCCAACTGGGATCCACCAGGATGGAACCCAGATCCAACCCAAATCCAGCTGGGATCCACCAGGATTGAACCCAGATCCAGCCCAAATCCAGCTGGGATCCACCAGGATGGAACCTGGATCCAGCCCAAATCCAGCTGGGATCCACCAAGATTGAACCTGGATCCAGCCCAAATCCAGCTGGGATCCACCAGGATGGAACCCGGATCCAGCCCAAATCCAGCTGGGATCCACCAAGATTGAACCTGGATCCAGCCCAAATCCAGCTGGGATCCACCAGGATGGAACCCGGATCCAGCCCAAATCCAGCTGGGATCCACCAAGATTGAACCTGGATCCAGCCCAAATCCAGCTGGGATCCACCAGGATGGAACCCGGATCCAGCTCAAATCCAGCTGGGATCCACCAGGATGGAACCTGGATCCAGCCCAAATCCAGCTGGGATCCACCAGGATGGAACCCGGATCCAGCTCAAATCCAGCTGGGATCCACCAGGATGGAACCTGGATCCAGCCCAAATCCAGCTGGGATCCACCAGGATTGAACCTGGATCCAGCCCAAATCCAACTGGGATCCACCAGGATTGAACCTGCATCCAGCCCAAATCCAGATCCTCCAGATCCCTCCTGGATCCTCCAGATCCCTTTTGGATCCACCAGGCCTCACTTGGATCCTCCAGATCCCACCTGGACCTTCCAGATTTCACACGGATTCTTCAGATCCCACCTGGATCCTCCAGATCCTTCCTGGATCCTCCACACCTCTCCTGGATTCTCCAGATCTCGCACAGATGCTCCAGACTCCACCAGGATCCTTCCGATCCCACCTGGCTCCACCAGATCCCTCCTGGATCCTCCAGATCTCACACAGATCCTCCAGACTCCACCAGGATCCTCCAGATCCCTCCTGGCTCCACCAGATCCCACCTGGATCCTCCAGATCTCTCCTGGATCCTCCAGATCTCACACAGATCCTCCAGACTCCACCAGGATCCTCCAGATCCCACCTGGACCTTCCAGACTCCACCAGGATCCTCCAGATCCCTTTTGGATTCACCAGGTCCCCTCTGGCTCCACCAGCCCCTCCTGGATCCCTCAGATCTCCTCAGATCTCCCCAGATCCCGGTGCCAGATCCCCCCCGATCCCCCTCTGGCAGCACCGGGGCCGGGACCGGACTCTCGGGGACCCCCGCGGGGCCTCAGACTCTTGGACACCCCCAGATCCCCCCTGGACACCCCCAGATCCTCCTGGACACCCCCAGATCCTCCTGGATCCCCCCAGATCCCTCCAGATCCCTGCTAGATCCACCTTGATCCCAGGATTTGGGGGTCCTGGGACCCCTCGGGGATCTCTGGGGGCTTTTGGTGGCTCCCCGTGGGACAGGAGCTGCGGTGGCACCGTGTGAGAGCCCAAGTGCCTGGGGACACTGAGGGGACACTGAGGGGACATTGGGGAGACACTGAGGGGACATTGGGGAGACACTGAGGGGACACTGGGGGGACACTGAGGGGACACTGAGGGGACATTGGGGAGACACTGGGGGGGACACTGAGGGGGCACTGGGGGGACACTGAGGGGACACTGAGGGGACATTGGGGAGACACTGAGGGGACACTGAGGGGACACTGCGGGCACTGCGGGGACACTGAGGGGACATTGGGGAGACACTGCGGGGACACTGCTGTGGGAGCTGGGGTGGCTTTGTTGGGATGTCCCCATGGTCATCCTGGCCATGGTCACTCCATAGGGGTGTCCCCTCAGTGTCCTCAGCCGTGGTCACCCCCCAGGTGATGTCCCCCAGGTGGTCCCAATGGTGGCCTCGATGTCCCCTCAGTGATCCCAGTGATGACCACAATGTCCCCTCAGTGGTCCCAGTGGTGGCCTCGATGTCCCCCACGTGTCCCAGCCATGGTGGCCCCAATGTCCCCTCGGTGGTCCCAGTGGTGGCCTCGATGTCCCCCACGTGTCCCAGCCATGGTGGCTCTCCAGGTGACATCGCCCAGATGGTCCCAGTGGTGGCCTTGATGTCCCCTCAATGGTCCCAGTGGTGGCCTCAGTGTCCCCCAGGTATTCCTGGCCCCCAGGTGACATCCCCAGGTCGTCCCAATGGTGGCCATGATGTCCCCCAAGTGTCCCAGCCATGGTGGTCCCAATGTCCCCTCAGTGATCTCAGTGGTGGCCTCGATGTCCCCTCAATGATCGCAGTGGTGGCCTCAATGTCCCCAGGTGTTCCCAGCCATGGTGTCCCCAATGTCCCCTCTGTGGTGGCCCCAATGTCCCCTCAGTGATCTCAGTGGTGGCCCCGATGTCCCCCAGGTGATGGCCCCCAAGTGGTCCCAGCCACGGTGGCCTCAATGTCCCCTCAATGATCCTGGTGGTGGCCTCGATGTCCCCCAGGTGACATCCCCCAGGTCGTCCCAGTGGTGGCCTCGATGTCCCCTCAGTGGTGGCCACAATGTCCCCTCAATGATCGCGGTGGTGGCCTCGATGTCCCCAGGTGATCCCAGCCATGGTGGCCCCAATTGTCCCCTCAATGTCCCCTCTGTGGTGGCCTCGATGTCCCCTCAGCAGGTCCCAGTGGTGGCCCCAATGTCCCCTCTGTGGTGGCCCCAATGTCCCCCAGGTGACATCCCCCAGGTGGTCCCAATGGTGGCCTCAATGTCCCCTCTGTGGTGGCCTCGATGTCCCCAGGTGATCCCAGCCAGGGCCACTCCCAGGTGTCCCCCAGTCCCCTCCCAGTGTCCCCAGTTTGTCCCTGTCCCTCTTTGCACTTTATGCTCAGACGTCCCCTGGCTCTGTCCCCGTGTCCCCAGGGTGGCACTGAGGGGACAGTGAGGGGACAGTGAGGGGAGAGCAGCGCCACCCCCCTGCCCTTTGTCCCTTTGTCCTTGTCCCTTCTGGGCCCTCGGTGTCCCCACCCTGCCCAGGGGACCCCCGGGGGTGCTGCCACCCAAGTGGGGACACCCCAGAGTGGGGACACCCCAAAGTGGTGGCACCTGAGAATTTGGGGACACCCCGAGTTGGGGACACCCAGGATTGTCCCCTCGGGCACGCGGGGTGGCGCCTGTGGGGTGGAGGGACCCGGTCCCGTATGAAGCCCCTGGGGACACCTTGGGGACATTCCCAGGGCCACCTCAGGGACATTCTGGGGCCACCTTGGGGACATTCTGGGACATCTTGGGGACACTCCCGGGGCCACCTTGGGGACATTCTGGCGCCACCTTGGGGACACTCCTGGGACCACCTTGGGGACACTCCCGGGGCCACCTTGGGGACATTCCCAGGGGCCACCTTGGGGACATTCTGGGGACATTCCTGCTGTTCCAGAGCCTCTGGACTTGGTGACATTGGTGTCCCCAGGGTGGTGACAGAGCCCGCTGGGTCCTTGCCCTGTCCCCACCCCTGGGGACACCTTGGGGACACTCCCAGGGCCATCCTGGGGACACTCCCAGGGACACTCCCAAGGCCACCTTGGGGACACCTCAGGGCCATTCCCAGGGACTCTTTGGGGACACTCCCAGGTTCATCTTGGGGACATTCCCAGGGCCACCTCAGGGCCACCTTGGGGACATTCCCGGGGCCACCTTGGGGACATTCCCAGGGCCACCTTGGGGACATTCCCGGGTCTGCCTTGGGGGCCCCTTGGGGACATTCCCGCGGCCACCTCGAGGCCACTTTGGGGACAATCACGGGGCCACCTTGGGGCCATTTTGGGGCCATTCCCGGAGCCACCTTGGGGACACTCCCAGAGCCACCTTGGGGACATTCCTTGGGACACTTTGGGGACATTCCTGGGGCCACCTTGGGGCCACTTTGGGGTCATTCCTGGGGCCACCTTGGGGACACCTGAGGGCCATTCCCGGGGCCACCTCAGGGCCACCTTGGGGACATTCCCGGGGCCACCTTGGGGACACTCCCAGGGACACCTTGGAGACATCTCAAGGGCACCCTCAGGGACTCCTTGGGGACACCTTGGGGACACTCCCAGGTTCATCTTGGCGACACTCCCAGGGCCACCTCAGGGCCGCCTTGAGGCCGCTTTGGGGACATTCCCGGGGACACTTTGGTGACAATCCTGGGGACACTTTGGGGACATTCCCAGTGCTCCAAATCCTCTGCACTTGGTGACATCGCTGTCCCCAAATTGGTGACCCAAACGGTGACACCGCAGCTCCTGCCACCCTTTTGTTTTATTTCCTTTTTTTTTTTTTTTCCCTTTTTTTTTCTCTCTTTTTCCGCCTTTTCCCCTCGGGTTTTCTTTCTCTCCTCGTTTCATTTCCGTTGTTTTTTTTCCTCCTCGCTTTGGGAAGCTCCTCCCTCGCCGTGAAATAACAATCGTGGTAACCCCACCCTCGGGGCGCTGATTTACCCATGTATTTAATGTAAAGTAAAAAAAAAAAAAACAACAAGGACAAAAAAAAAAAACCAGGAAAAAATCCCAAAAAAAGCGAAAATTCCCAACTTTTTGTGTGCCAAGGGAGGGGACAGGCGACAACACCGGGGCCACCCGGTGCCAGCAGCCGCTGCCAGATCGCGGCCCTGCCCTGATAACGCTTATCAGAGTTCACAGCTGCCTGCTGGCTCCTGTTTTTTCCCGTTTTTTTCCCTTTTTTCCCGTTTTTTCCCCCCAAATTCCCAGCGGGAATTTCGGGCTGCGCTGCCCCTTGAAATCCGCGGGGCCGCTTTAAGACCCCCCGGTGGTTGGCGTGGTGTTGCCGTTTTTAAACCGGCGGTGGTGGGGCCCACCCTGAACGAGGCCACGCCCACTAGGCCCCCGTTAAAGTAAACAGAGGGGCGTGGCCAGGTAGGTCGCTCTCTCCTCGAGGCCACGCCCATCGCCCCCCTCTTAAAGGGGCCGCGCCCGCAACGACATCGCGGGACCGGAACCGTTACGCAGGTGCGCGGCGGGGACAACCGGGAGCGGGAACAACCGGGAGAGGGAAAAACCGGGATGGGAACAGGGCGGGAAAACCGGATCGGGGTGGGGCTGAGGGAGGGAAAAGCGGGAACCCGTTGGGGCTGCGGGGGAAACAACGGGACCGGGAGGCGGTTTGGGGACAACCGGGGGTGGCCTCGGCCTACGGCGGCGACAACCGGGACCGGGACCGGGATGGGGCTGGGGAGGGGAGAACCGGGACCGGGGTGGCGGCGGGGAAAGGGAAAATCGGGACCGGGATGGAGCTGGGGGAGGGGACAACGGGGACCGGGATGGGGTTGGGAAAAACCGGGAACAACCGGGCAGGGGACAACGGGGACCAGGATGGCGCTGGGAGCAGGAAGAACCGGGACCGGGATCGGGACAGGGTTGGGGAGGGGACAACCGTGACCGGGATGGCGCTGGGGACAACGGGGACCGGGATGGCCCTGGGAAAAACCGGGAACAACAGGGCTGGGGACAACGAGGACCGGGATGGAGCTGGGAGAAGCCGGGACCGACCGGCACCGACTGGGTGGGGACACACCGGGCACCGGGCTGGGAACGGTGCTGGGGTCACGGAAGGGCAGAAGCGCAGCGGAAACCGAGCGCGGTTGTGTCGCAGCAGAGTCGCTGATTTTCGCTTTCCCCGGCAGCGCCACCGGAGCCGTTTCCCGGTACCCGGTGTCCGGTGCCCGCCTCAGCCGCGCTCTCCCGTCCCGCCGCCACCGCCGCGATGCTGCTGCTCCGGGCCATGGCCGGCCGCAGGTAGGAACGGGGGGCTCCCGGTGTCCCCCCGGTGTCCCCCCGGTGTCCCCCCGGTGTCCCTCCGGTGTCCCGGGGCCGCTGTGACCCCGCTGTCCCCGCAGGCTCCCGCCGCTGATGCGGCTGCCCCGCGGCTGCTCCCGGTTGGCCGCCGGTAGCGCGGCCCCGGAGGGACACCGGGAAGCGACACCGAGGGGACACCCAGGAGCGACACCGGGGGGACACCGAGAAGCGACACCGGGGGGACACCGAGGAGCGGCCCCGGTGCTGGCGGCGCTGCTCGGACTCGGCGTCGTTGTGGCCTACGGAGAGCGGCGGCGGAGGGTGAGCGACACCGGGGGCGGCGGCACCGGGAGGGGCGGGGACAGCTCGGGGTCCGTCCCCGTGCCGGGGACACCGGGGAGGGGTTGGATCCCGGCGGGAGGCGGCGCCGGAGGGGCGGATCCCGGGGAGAGGTGACACCGGGACAGCGGGAACGGAGGGGGGGTGGCACCGGGGGTGGATCCCGGGGGAAGGGGGTGGCACCGGGACAGCGGAACCCAGAACCGGGGTGGTGGCACCAGGGAAAACGGTGGCACCGGGAAAGGGATCCCGAGCTGGGGGTGACACCGGGACCGGGAGATCTAGGACCGGGGTGACACCGGGACAGGGGTGACACCGGGACAGCGGGAACCCAGAACCGGCGTGGCACCAGGACCGGGGGATCCCGAGGCAGGGTGACACCGGGACAGGGGTGACACTGGGGCGGAGGTGACACCGGGACACCGTGATCCCGGGGCGGGGTGACACCGGGACGGGGGGGGGACACCGGGACAGGAGGATCCGGGGCATAGGTGACACCGGGACAGAGGAATCCCGGGGAGGGTGACACCGGGACAGGGTGACACTGGCACAGGAAGATCCGGGGCAGGGGTGACACGGGGACAGGAGCGGGGGTGACACCGGGACACCGGGATCCCGGACAAGGGGATCCGGGGCAGGGGTGGCACCGGGACAGGGGTGACACGGGGGACAGCGGGATCCGGGGGCAGGGGTGACACCGGGACAGAGTGATCCCGGGCAGGGGTGACACCGGGACAGGAGCGGGGGGGACACCGGGACACCGGGATCCCGGACAAGGGGATCCGGGGCTGGGTGACACCGGGATCCAGGACAGGGTGACACCGGGATCCCGGGATCACGGGTGGGTCCCGCTGACCCTCCCGGTGCCCGCAGACCGCCCAGGCCGCCCGGGCCGCCCCCGCCCCGCCGTTCCCCCCGTTACACGCGGGCGGAGGTGGCGCAGCACCGCACCCCGGCGGATCGCGTGTGGGTCACCTACGGCACCGACGTGTTCGACGTTACCGAATTCGTGGAGCTGCACCCGGGGGGACCGGACAAGATCCTGCTGGCGGCCGGGGGGGCCCTGGAGCCGTTCTGGGCTCTCTACGCCGTGCACGGCCAGCCCCACGTCCTGGAGCTGCTCCGCGAGTACAAAGTGGGCGAGCTGAGCCCCGAGGAGGCGGCGCCGCCACCGGGGGACGGCGCGGACCCGTTCGCCGGGGACCCCCCGCGCCACCCCGCGCTGCGGGTGAACAGCTCGAAGCCTTTTAACGCCGAGCCGCCCCCGGAGCTGCTCACGCAGAGCTTCCTGACGCCCAACGAGCTTTTCTTCACCCGCAACCACCTCCCGGTGCCCGCCGTGGAACCGGCGTCCTACCGGCTGCGCGTGGAGGGGCCCGGCGGCCGCGCGTTGTCGCTGTCGCTGTCGGAGCTGCGGCGGCGCTTCCCGAAGCACGAGGTGACGGCCACGCTGCAGTGCGCCGGTAACCGGAGATCCGAGATGAGCCGCGTCCGCCCGGTTAAAGGCTTGGCGTGGGACATCGGCGCCATCAGCACGGCGCGCTGGGGCGGAGCGCGGCTCCGGGACGTGCTGCTGGCCGCCGGCGTCCGCGACGGCGCCGAGAACGGCGAGTGGCACGTGTGCTTCGAAGGGCTGGACGCGGACGCTTCGGGGACGCCGTACGGGGCGTCCATCCCGTTAAAACGGGCGCTGAGCGCCGACGCCGAGGTGCTGCTGGCGTACGAGATGAACGGGCGGGAGCTGCCCCGGGATCACGGCTTCCCGGTGCGCGTCGTGGTGCCCGGGGTGGTCGGGGCGCGGAGCGTGAAGTGGCTGCGGAGCGTGGCGGTGTCGCCCGAGGAGAGCCCGAGCCACTGGCAGCAGAACGACTACAAGGGCTTCTGTCCGTCCGTGGATTGGGATTCCGTGGATTTCGGCTCCGCGCCCGCCATCCAGGAGCTGCCGGTGCAGTCGGCGATCACCGAGCCCCGGCCCGGAGCGGCCGTGCCCGCCGGGGAGCTGACGGTGAAGGGATACGCGTGGAGCGGAGGAGGAAGGGAGGTGGTCAGGGTGAGTGGGGAAAGGGGAGGGGGAAATGGGATGGGGGCAAAGGGGAAAAAATGGGGTGGGGGAATGGGGTGGAGGGAAGGGGATGGGGGGAAATGGGGTGAGGAAAATGGGAACGGGAATGGGGGGAAAGGGCTTGGGGGAAAGGGGATGGGGGAATGGGAATGGGGGAAATGGGGTGAGGAAAATGGGAACGGGAATGGGGGAAAGGGGGTGGGGGGAAAGGGGATGGGATGGGGAAAATGGGGTGGGGGAAAAATGAGATGGGGGAATGGGAATGGGGAAATGGGGTGAGGAAAATGGGAACGGGAATGGGGGGAAAGGGGGTGGGGGGAAAGGGGGTGGGATGGGGAAAATGGGGTGGGGGAAAAATGGGATGGGGGAATGGGAATGGGGAAATGGGGTGGAGGGAAAGGGGAACAGGGGAAATGGGGTGAGGAAAATGGGAACGGGGATGGGGGATGGGGAATGGGGCAAGGATGGGAAATGGGGATGGGAGTGGAAATGGGGAATGGGGTGGGGGGAAAGGGGAACTGGAACGGGGGAAATGAAGTGGGGGAAATGGGGTGGGGGTGGGGAGGGTAAATGGGCTGGGGGGAAATGGGAACGAGAATGGGGGGAAATGGGGTGGGGGCAAAGGGGATGGGGTGGGAGAATGAGGATGGAGAAAGGGGACTCGGGAATGGGGGGAAATGGGGTGGGGAAAATGGGAACGAGAATGGGGGGGAATGGGGTGGGGGCAAAGGGAACGAGAATGGGGGGGGGAAATGGGGTGGAGGGAAAGGGGATGGGGGGAAATGGGGTGAGGAAAATGGGAACGGGGATGGGGAATGGGGAATGGGGCAAGGATGGGAAATGGGGATGGGAGTGGAAGTGGGGAATGGGGAATGGGGTGGGGGAAAAATGGGGTGGGGGGAAAGGGGAACGGGAATGGGGGAAAAGGGGTGGGGGAATGGGGACGGGGGTGGGGAGGGTAAATGGGGTGGGGAAAATGGGAACGAGAATGGGGGGAAATGGGGTGGAGGAAAAATGGGATGGGGGAATGGGAATGGGGAAATGGGGTGGGGGAGGAAGGGGAATGGGAACGAGAATGGGGGGGGGAAATGGGGTGGAGGGAAAGGGGATGGGGGAAAATGGGGTGAGGAAAATGGGAACGGGGATGGGGAATGGGGCAAGGATGGGAAATGGGGATGGGAATGGGAATGGGGAATGGGGGAATGGGATGGGGGGAAAGGGGAACGGGAATAGGGTGGGGAAATGGGAATGGGATGGGGAATGGGGTGGGAGCGAGGTAAGGGGAAAGGGGATGGGGGAAAGAGGATGGGGTGGGAAAAATGGAGTGGGGGAAAGGAGATGGGGAGCAAGGAATGGGGATGGAGGAAAATGGGGATGGGGAATGGGGATGGGGTGGGAAAAAGGGGGTGGTGGGAAGCGGGTGGGGAAAGGGAAATGGGGATGGGGGAAAATGGGGTAGGGGGAACAGGGATGGGGAATGGGGTGGGAAAAATGGGATGGGAAAAGGAGGATGGATGAGAAAAATGGGGTGGGCGGAACAGGGGTGGGGAAAATGGGGTGGGAGAATGGGAATGGGGTGGAAAAATGCGTGGGGGGAAGGAGGATGGGGGAATGGGCATGGGGAATGGGGTGGGAAAAATGGGATAGGAAAAGGAGGATGGATGGGAAAAATGGGGATGGGAGAATGGAATGGGGCAAAGGAGATTGGGGGGAAAATGGGGATGGGAAATGGGGCAGGAATGGGGCAGGGCCGGGAAATGGGGATGGGGAGAAATGGGGTGGGAGAAACCAGCGGGATGGGGGGAGCGGGGTGGGGGACAGGATGAGGGAACGGGACGGGGGTGGAAAAAACGGGGAAAGGGAGCGGTGTCGCTGGACAGCGGCCAGATGCGGCTGGACGCTAATTAACTAACGCTAACGAACGCCAATTAGCCATCTCCGCAGCAATTATCTCTGTCTCGCAGGTGGACGTGTCGCTGGACGGGGGCCGCACGTGGCGCGAGGCCGAGCTGGGCCCGCGGCCGGAGCGGGGCCGGGGCTGGGCCTGGCGCTGTGGGAGCTGCGGGCGCCGGTGCCCGCGGGGGCGCGGCTGGAGATCGTCTGCAAGGCCGTGGACCGGAGCTACAACGTCCAGCCCGACACCGTGGGGCCCATCTGGAACCTGAGAGGGGTCCTGAGCAACGCCTGGCACCGCGTCCCCGTCACCGTCACCAAGTGAGGGACACCAGGATATTGGGGTATTGGGGCTTTGGGGACATTGGGAACACAGCAGGGACATTGGGGACACTGGGGACACCAGGGACATCAGAGCTACAACGTCCAACCTGACACTGTCAGGGGGGCCCATCTGGAACCTGAGAGGGGTCCTGAGCAACGCCTGGCACCGCGTCCCCGTCACCGTCACCAAGTGAGGGACACTGGCACCTGGACATTGGGGTATTGGGGACATTGGGGTACTGGGGACATTAGGGACAGCAGGGACAGCAGAGACAGCAGGGACACCAGAGCTACAGAGACATTGGGGACATCTGGAACCTGCTCAGGGTCCTGAGCAACACCTGGCACTGGTCAGTGTCACCGTCACCAAGTGAGGGACACTGGCACCTGGACATCAGGACATTGGCGTATTGGGGACACTGGGGACATCAGAGACGTCAGGGACAGCAGGACATTGGGGTCAGCAGGGACATCAGGGACATCTGGAACTTGTGTGGGGTCCTCAGCAGCGCCTGGCACCGGGTCAGTGTCACCGTCACCAAGTGAAGGACATTGGGGTATTGGGGACATTGGGGTATTGGGGACATCAGAGGTACGACATCCAACCGGACACTGTGGGGCCCATCTGGAACCTGAGCAACGCCTGGCACTGGGTCCCTGTCACCGTCACCAAGTGAGGGACACTGTCACCTGGACATCGGGGTATTGGGGACATCGGGGACATTGGGGACAGCAGAGACAGCAGGGACACCAGAGCTACAGAGACCTCAGGGACATCTGGAACTGAGAAGGGTCCTGAGCAAGGCCTGGCACTGGGTCCCTGTCACCGTCACCAAGTGAGGGACATCATCAGGGCCTTGGGGACATTGGGGTGTTGGGGACATTGGGGACATCAGGGACACAGCAGGGACATTGGGGACATCAGAGGTACGACGTCCAACCCGACACCGTGGGGCCCATCTGGAACCTGCGCGGGGTCCTGGCACCGTGTCAGTGTCACCGTCACCTGCTGAGGGACATCGGGGACATCGAGGACATCGGGGACATCTGGAACCTGCAGAGGGTCCTGAGCCAGGCCTGGCACTGGGTCAGTGTCACCGTCACCCAGTGAGGGACATCGGGGACATCGGGGATCCCTGGAGATCAATGGGATCTGTGGAACTAAAGGGTTCCATGGCTTCAAAGAGTCCTACAGACCCCAAAGTGCCCTACAGACCCCATGGGTTCCATGGCCCTAAAATGTCCTAGAGACCCTAAAATGTCCTAGATACCCTAAAAGATCCTGCAGACCCCAAAGATCCTGCAGACCCCAAAGTGTCCTATGGACCTCAATGGGTTCCATGGCCCCAAAATGTCCTAGAGACCCCAAAATGTCCTACAGACCCTAAAATGTGCTAGAGACCCTAAAATGTCCTAGAGACCCCAAAATGTCCTAGAGACCCCAAAGTGCCCTACAGACCCATGGGTTCCATGGCCCCAAAATGTCCTAGAGACCCTAAAATGTCCTAGAGACCCAAAAGATCCTGCAGACCCCAAAGTGTCCTATGGACCCCAAAGAGTCCTGCAAACCCCAATGGGTTCCATGGCCCCAAAATGTCCTACAGACCCCAATGGGTTCTGCAGGCCCCCAGCTTCTATTGACCCCAAAAGGTTCCACAGACCCAAAAGGACTTTACGGCCCCAAAAGGATTTTATAGACCCAAAGAATCCACAGACCCCAAAAGGTTTTTATGGCCCCTCAAAGGATTTTATGGCGCCCTAAAAGATTTTATGGACTCCAAAAGATTTTATGGACTCCAAAGGATTTTTATGAACCCCAAAGGGTTCCGGTGACCCCAAAGATTTCTGTGGCCCCAAGGGACCCTGCAGGCAGCCCCACAGCTCGATAGGTCAGCAGGGTTTTATGGCCCCCACACTTTTATGGCCCCCACACTTTTATGGCCTCAGGGTTTTATGGCCGTGGGGATTTATGGCCCTGGTTTTACACCCCAATGTGTGAAAGTGCCTCCTGCATAAAGATTTGGGAACTTTTATGGGTTCGGTGCCTTCCTGGGCAGTGAGGGCGGGGGGGGATGGGGGGTGGGGGCGGTTCTGGGACCCCCTGACCCTATATGGACCCATGGGACCCCTGACCCTATAAGGACCCATGGGACTCCTGACCCTATATGGACCCATGGGACCCCTGGCCCTACAGGAACCCATGGGACTCCTGACCCTATAGGGACCCATGGGACTCCTGACCCTATAGGGACCAATGGGACCCCTGGCCCTATAGGGACAATGGGACTCCTGACCCTATATGGACCCATGGGACCCCTGACCCTACAGGAACCCATGGGACTCCTGACCCTATAGGGACCCATGGGACTCCTGACTCTATAGGGACCAATGGGACCCCAGACCCTATAGGGACCCCCCTGATCCTACAAGAACCCCTGGGATCCCTGATCCTATAGGAACCTATGGAC